TCCCACGAACTTCGCGTGTGCATTTTTGAGAGATGTAACCCATCTGCTGTGACGTGTCACGTGACTATTATGTTTGTTAGAGCTCTTATTTTATTCTCTTCCAACTTGGCACGAACGCTTTTTTAACTTTGAAGCATAAAAGAGAAAAATCTTCTTGGAATATAAAATTTTTGCCTGAAGACACTAGTGAAAAGTTATTGCCCAGTAAAGCATCGTAATTCTCAAGTTACTTAAAATCAGATCAGATTGATATCAAACTCAGGCTCAGTTCCAAGTAAAATAAACTAAAGATCAAATATATCAAATATATACAGATAAAAATCCTGAATCAATTGGTGTAGTCTTGATTTATGGCTTCTAATGCTAGAGAGGAAAAGTCAACTTATTGATGTCATGCAAACCCATTATTAGCACAAAAACCGGCAAAATATTTAGAAATACTCTTCGTTTGTTCGTAGATCTATAGAAAATATAATTACTTACAAAAGGATTATAGCCGTAACATTCAAACCATACGTTTTCATTCTTTTTAGGCTTTTTACGAAGGTACAGTGAAAACGAAACTGACAGACAAGCTAACTTTCTCTCGCAAACACGTAAATCTGTTATTTTGTTATTATTTTGTTATTTATTTATATTAGGGAAACAAACAATTTTGATATACAGACAAATAATCACACAAAAAAATAGGACAGAAATCAGCAAATCTGTGTCATATATACATGGGTATATCATTTAAAATCCATTTCATAAACTGAAAAAGTCAAGGTAAGTCACTCAAAAGATCTCACAGTCGGTTGCTTACCCTTCCATTCAGTCTGCCTCTTTTCTTGAAGTATCATTTTATTAAAACTCGAAATATTACCGTAGCTAAAATATTAAGAAGCTATTTTGGTATTGCCAGCGAAATATAGTGAATAGTAGACGCGTTTGAAAGATGATTTATGTCTAAATATTTTGATGCATAATACGAAAAGCAAGTTATTCAAATAAAGTGATGGATGGGTGTGTATTTCGTATTTGAATTTGCTTTTCATAATAATTTACGTTGTTTACTATTAATGTACAAGTAAGTACAAAGTCAAAACAACTGGAATAAATATGTAATAATAATACTTCTAAAGTGAGACTTGGCACAACAGTTTTTTTTAATGCATAACAAGGCAGACATTTAACCACAATCGCACCTAGGTGGACCGACGATCTGGTGAAGGTCGCGAGAGGTGCCTGGATGCGAGCGGCGCAGGATCGGTCATTGTGGAAATCCTTGGGGGAGGCCTTTGTCCAACAGTGGACGTCTTTCGACTGAAACGAAACGAGGCATCCGCTAAGAAAGGATTTTACGAAACTCCACCCCTAAAAGGGGGTAAAACGGATTACACTCGTACTAAGTCGCGGGCGGCCGTTAATCTTCAATAAATAAATCTGTAGAGAGGTAAATTCTGTACATGAAATATATTTTCAAAATAACTATCAGGGGGTGATTAGTGATCGATACCGATGCCAAAAATGCAATCAGTAAAATTTTTGTCTGTCTGTCTGTCTGTCTGTCTGTCTGTCTGTCTGTCTGTCTGTATGTTCCTTATAGAAACAAAAACTACTCGACGGACTTTAACGAAACTTGGTACAATTATTCTTCATACTTCTGGGCAGGTTATAATATACTTAGGAATTCCCACAGGAACGGGAATTAGCGGGAAAATCCTTTTGTATAAAAAATCTAAACGGCTTAATAAGTTAGATGATTGAAATTTGGCATGCAGGTACCTTAGTAAACTTAAAGCTTAGTTACAACAGGATATTGCAAAATTCTCACGGGAACGGGAGTTAGCGGGAAAAAACTTTTGTATGAAAAAATCTAAACCGCGTAAGACACGGGATCCACGCGTACGAAGTCGCAGGCGGCCGCTAGTAATAAATAAAATCATATTCCTTCGAACACCTGCTCAATGCTCACATATTACCCACTTCTTACATTTGTTAAGAGCATACGTGTCCAATACGGTATTGCTGTATCGCCAGCGTGACGTTAACGCGAAACAGGACTGACGGCTCGACACCGCGTGCCGCAGCGTTCTTGTGGATACCTCGTGAGTATTCCTTTATTTACAGGAGTGTCTACTAAAATGAAATAGCCCGGTTCGGTGAGTGAAAAATGGAAGGTAGTTTGTTTGGGAAGACAGAGCCAAAGACGGAGTATTGGATAGTTTGTTTGGATAAGAGGATTTTTTTTTTATATCACAGGAGGCAAACGAGCAGACGGATCAGATCAGCCCATAGACACCCGCAGACCATACTTATCAAACTTGTATATTTACGCCACCTATAACCAATGTAGCTGCTTCACAATGCTATGTAAAAAATATTTTTCTCTAAGTTATAAAGTTTGTATGGAAATATGGAAATACAGCGATGACAAACTTCAATTCTACGCTATCATGATGTAGGCACCTTAGAACGTCCTATAATGATATTTTTTTCCGCAATGACCTTTATGTTCAAACAACGCTTTATGTTCAAATTTATTTGGCACTAGCTTTCCGCCCGCGGCTTCGCCCGCGTCCCTGTTTTAAAAACCGGGATAAAAACTATCCTATGTCCTTTCCCGGGACTCAAACTATCTCTATAGCTTTCCTCAAAATAGGTTCAGTGGTTTAGGCGTGAAAGCAAGACAAACAGACAGACAGAGTTACTTTCGCATTTATATTATTAGTAAAGAAGTATAGATTAAAGTTATAAATAAATAAATAAACATTGCTTAGGTACTTAGGTACTTTAAAACATCTGAAATCTCCACTGCACTGCTGAATGATCAACGGTGCTAGAATTGGGTGAGATTCTCTGATTTTGAAATAAATTCTTTATTTCAGACGGCCGAGGTTATTTACTTTTAAATTGTATATTTTCGTTTCGCATTAACTGACGTAATGAAACGGCCACAGTTTAATTTCGGCAGAACCATTCTTGTAGAATGTGATTAAAATTACGTCAGAAATAAAACAGATACAGTAGACTTTAATCCAATTGTTCATGTCCCAAAATTATTAGACAAATGAAAATCGTTCGTTCGTTTCAGTCAAATAACGTCCACTGCTGGACAAAGGCCTCCCAAGTATTTCCATAAAGACCGGTCCTGCTCTGCCCGGATCCAGGTTCTTCCAGCGACTTTCACCAGATCGTCGGTCCACCTAGTGGGCCTGCCCACGCTACGTCTTTTGGCCCGTGGCCGCCACTCGCGGCCGCCCGCGACTTCGTACGCGTGGATCCCGTTTTACCCCCTTAGGATTGGAGTTTCGTAAAATCCTTTCTTAGCGGATGCCTACGTTATAACATCTACCTGCATGCCAAATTTCAGCCCGATCCGTCCAGTGGTTTGGGCTGTGCGTTGATAGATCACTATGTCAGTCAGTCAGTCAGTCAGTCAGTCAGTCACCTTTGAGTTATAGATGATTGATGATTGTGCCTCTACAAAGCAAAAATCTAAAAATCTGCCACATAACAATACAAATAAGAGTGTGTTATGCTGTACTGCATTTTCTCCCATTATGCCGACGGCTGCAAACATTTTTCTTGTACCAATGAAGCGTATAATTGAGTGGGCTGTAAAGCAACAGTGAAACAATATTTATGGGCCTGAAATGATAATAATTCCTCTTTCGTTCAAAGATGTTGTTAAGTCAAATATTTGCGGTAATAATTTGGTGTAGGTCGGCATATGCTGCGGAGGATACGTCACAGTGTAGGGTGAGGATAATTAGTAAGACGAATTTTGCGACTTAAATTTAATTTAATTAAGTGTATTTTTGATCACAACTACACACAGATTTATGCTAGTTATAACACCCTTATGGGAGTCTTCTTACATCGTCAGCGGTTATAACAAACAGCTGTGGTTACTACTTGTGTCTTTATTGAGCCGGCAACAACATCTAAACATACCCCAATCGGACCAAACTGAACTGCTCTCCAAAGCACAGAATCATATTGGTTTATCAGGAAATCAGATTAATTATTATGTACCTATATTCCACTAAGTAATGGAACCCAAAACCAACCATTTTGCGTTACAATCCCTCCAACCGATTGTCCGCCAACACAGTGAACCAGACCATATGGGACAAGCAAACAGCTGCAGCCTGCTCCTCTCGTACCAAATGCAAGATATTTTAAAACCTAGCCCCGTTTCCAGGATCACAGCACGCACTTACGTCGCGATGGTGGTCTTTGTTTCGAGATCCCGCCGTGGCAGCACCTCCCAGTCGAGCTGGACCAGCACCTGAACTCTATGAGGGAAAGGTTTGGGAACACCACAGCCGCTAGAAGGCAGATTAAGGGGTCTCAGCTGGCGCTGGTTCATAGGTATGACCAGAAATGATAACCCATCGTCGCCATGATTACAGCGGCGCGTAAAAAAGGGCTCTATTAATTTGGTTTGTCATTCTGCATCAAAAACACTAATTTATTGTTTCGAGATCGCATCTGCCATTAGAGATAAGATTTGGCTTTGAAAATTTGGTATCCAGTAGGCCTAAGATGCGCGCCGCGATAAGCGGTTATCACGCCATTTTATCGATTTTGCCCACACATTTTGACGTCGATAAAAGTTATCACGGCGCGTATCTTAGGCCTACTGGCCTTTGGAATTTTGAATTCCATCATCATAATAAAATGCCTTGTCTAGCATAAAAAAAAACTCAAATATACTAATTATACCATACGGGACCGACGACCTGGACACCTAATAGGAGCGACCTGCCCACGCTACGTCTACCAGCCCGTGGTCGCCACTCGAGAACTGGTAAAGGTCGCGGGAAGAACCTGGATGAGAACAGCGCAGGACAGTTCATTATGGAAAGCCTTGGGGAAGCCTTTGTCCAGCAGTGGACATCATTTGGCTGAAACGAACGAATGAAACTCGCACATCGAAACTAACATACAACAAACGTTCTATTACTTAGAGTCACTGATAGTTCTCTCATTTTAGTGGCATATCCCGCTATATGGACACAGTTCTGGCCCCATTCCTCGATACATACCTCAGGAACATCCAGAGCTCCTACCAGCAGATGACCAGCAAGATCCTCAGGCGGATCAAGGAGGAGATAAATAATGCAGTACAAAAGAAACTACAGGTCTATAACGAGTTGTTGCAGCTGGCGGATAAGTTGAATGTACCAGGTTAATTATTCTTTTGAATCTAAAAAAAGATAAAAGTGTCATTGCTACTACAGAATTTTCAAATTCAAGAGGAACCTGCATCAGTTTTCTTATAAGTTTTTTTTTATGGGACTGGAGGCAAACGAGAAAGTTTATACTTTATTGAGAATAATCGAATGAATATTCTTTCTTCACAAAGCGATGGGCGATATTTGATTGTAGGCTCGTAACTATATCAAATAGCACAGAAAAAAATGGTTATGTAAGAGACTGTGATCATTGTGTTATACGTTCGTATACGTTCTACAATCCACTACAATGATAGACAGAAAAAAATGTAGTCAATCCCTTTTAAGAGACTTGTAAGGCAATTCATAACAATAAATTTGAATTTTAGCGATGTGTGACGAAGAAAGGCGCCAAGCTCGAACTATAGCAAGCAAGCATGTAGCCCTAATATACTCGTGCACAGAAGATGCCAGGGCCTCTATTGCTAAGATGGGCAAGTATGCTGAGGAGATGATCACCATCACCAAGAAACACATGAACTCTGCCCTGGATGATGCGGCGAAAGTTCTGGAACTAAGCGTGAGACGGAGCAAGGATACTCACGAGTAAGTTTTTAAGTTTATCGTTTAATAAGTAAGGTATAAAACGACAATTTGATGATTTTACGAAACTCTACCCCTAAGGGGGTAAAACGAGATCCACGCGTACGAAGTCGCGAGCGGCCGCTAGTCTTTTGATAATATTGAAAATACAGCATAGAGGGCACCATAAAAGTCCTAAGCTAAATAAAAGGTAGAGTGATCATTTCGTAGTTTTGAGTACACCATCTCATCAAACGTCGGGCTATGTCAAGAAAAATTTGGGCGATATCGAACTACTAATAGATTGATAGCAATGCATACAACATACCTAGAAGGAGACTTTTTAGGCATTTTTCAGTAACTGATAAAGTCTGGAACTTGTTCAACCGTCACCATAAACATTAGCCAATCCTACTCCATACTTTTTCCAGGAGTGACGTCACCGCGTGCCTCAAACGTCTGTCTCGCTCAGCAGTGACTCTAGGCTACGAGCTGGACCTAAGCCTGACCAACGCTCGCCGCCACAACGAACAGTCTCACGAGAAGCTGACGGCGTGCAGCACCAAGTCCAAAAGGGACACCGAAGACGCTGTGTCTGATTTGAGGGACCAGCTTTACCAATGTGTTTACGCCTAGTTAATAATAATAAATATTGGACAATATACAGTCCGATATCTAGTCTTAAACTGATCAAATCTTATTTTATAAGTACCAGACAACCGATTTTTTAATGAATAACAAAGCAGGTATTTGACCGCAATCGCACCTGGTGTTAAATGAGATGCAGTCTTGGGTGGTACATAGGTATCTGCCCTGTAAGTGCCAGTATGCTGAATTGTCACTATTGTGCAGAAACCGAACCTAGGACATCTAGCATAGTAGTCCGATACGCCAACTACTATTCCTACCTGTCTTTCTCACCGCTGCAACTGCTGTATAGGGATCTACAACTTCAACCAGTGAAGGCCAAGTTTGTCCCGGGGGAAAGTTTTAAACTGTTATTGGACCCACACCATACGCGTACCACTTGGACAAGTAGCCGTCAAATAATCTAGAAAATTATTACCGTAGCAATTACCTACTAACTTATTTTCATGTCAGTTGATCCCATCTCTTTAGCATAATTCGTCCTTTGCGGTCTGATCGTAAAAAGTATGAAGTAAATGGACAGACATACAAAGTTTAGTTACTAGCAATAAATATGGCACAAATAGAGAAATCCAGTGATATTTTGATGACCCTTTTCTGCTTTTACTATCCCCAGTAAATAATTCACTAAACTAGCAATTTATATTCAAACCTATTTAAAATCAAATTCAATCCTGAATGTTTGAATTATTCATGTATAAACAAATTGTTTGTTTGTTAGCATTTCGAGAAGAATATGAATAATGAATCAGATATCTTTGGCGTTTATTTCAAAAGAGATAGCAGTAATAATGTATTTCTTCAACTTTATCTTGATGGGTGTAAATTAGGGTCGAGAATTAGTTTTATTTTAAAGTAGGCAGTATCTATAGTCAACGGCAACACCCACTATTATCATTAGATAAGATGTCCACTAGGTGAACCGACAATTAGGTCGTGGGCATATAGAATATTATTTCAAGTTACAATTATGTAGGATACATGATTTTCTCCTCACAGCTCTCCCTAATTTATATCTCGGGCCGGAAGATGTAGCGTGGGCAGGTCTCCCACTAGGTGGACCGACGATCTAGTGAAGGTCGCAGGAAGTAATCTGGATGCGGGTAGCGCAGAATCAGTCGTTGAGGAATCATTGGAGGATTTCGTTATTTGGCGGAAATGTATGAACGATTCTATTGCAAACTGTTATAAAAAAAGAACAGCTAAAATTTCAAAAGATAAAGTTATTTTTTATCATCAGTCAACAGCCAACGTAATTTGATTGATCTCTCTCAATACTTTCAGCTACCTGCACCAGATCGTCGGTCCACTTAGTCCAACGGCCTTCAGCTCTATGACCTATGTGCCCCGACCACTGCCACGTTCGTTTCAGCCAAATGACGTCCGCTGCTGGACAAAGGCCTCCCCCAAGGATTTCTAAAACGAACGGTCCTGCGCCGCCCGCATCCAGGCACCTCCCGCGACCTTCACCAGATCGTCGGTAGCAATGGAATTAAGTCGATTTATTTTCAAAATGTAAATGATGTACTTACCTACAGTTTCCTAGGAGACAGTTCAGTAAGTACTTCAAACTTCTCCGCCGTTGATCGTTCAATATAAAGTTAATTAGTGGCACATTGAAATCTGATTCATTTGAGACTCTTTCCGAAACTTTTAATGAAATTCAGATCTACGGGCCAATTAATGGGCATTTGAGCCATGGCTTAAAGACTTTTATTTAATATTTTTGCGTTACATTGCAATGATTAAGTTTGGGAACGTTAAATCTAAATTTTATAAATAGGTTGAAACAAAATTAAGCTAAAAAGTGGTCTTAAAATAAAAATTTTTTTTCATAAGTCATGAGAATAGAGCCTGCTAATTAATTACTTGAATTATAAAATCATTAGTATTGAAGTCAACTTTGGTAAGATAGGCAAAGACCAAAGTACGAGTACGTTTAACAATAAATAAGAACAGTCACTTGGAAAATATTGGGCAGGTGGAAAGTCGTTTAAATCATTTTACCTAATACAGATGAATACAATCTTATACATACTTCATACCTTATATTAAGGTAAAATAATATAGTTCCAGAACTGCATACATTAAATGGTTTGATTGGCGATGTTTAAACAGGACCCTAACGAGAACTACGGCGACCCGCGCCGAACTGTCAACAATAAGTTCCGAGGCCTTAGACATTCAGCTACGAATTGGTTGACACGGTTAGATTACATTTTCCTGACGCAAAAAGAAAAAAAAAGAAAAAAAAGGCTGGGTTGTGCCATCTTACTTTAACTTTTAAAAACGTCAAAAATCTGTCAAATTCCATATAAAAACCACCGGTTATCGTCAAAGTTACGGTCAAAATTAGGTGGTGCAACTCAGCCTTACTAATGTATTGTTATACAAAAGTCGTGCTGTCTGTCTAAATGCCGTAACGCGGAATGACGCCTAAACCTTAAAGGCAAGAGTGAACAGGGACTGGTTAAGTATTTTATAAAAAAACACCCATTTAACTAACATTAATCGATTGTTAGTCTGTAGTAATCATACCTATTAAAAGAAATTAATGTAGAGATAAATAGGATCTTTCTGGAACCCAGTTTTTTTATTTAATAAAATTGGTAGTGCCCCGATGGACAGCAAGGTTCTGATGAAAGGTCACGTATTGGATAACGCAGCGACAATCTCATAAAGGCAGCAGGAAAGCGCTGGATGCAGGCCCGCTACCAACTGGGCGATGTGGAAATTATTGTGGGAGGCGTATGTTCAGCAGTGGATGTCCTGTATCTGAAATGTTGATGATGTTGATGAATTGATAGTGCACAAATTACTTATTGCCGTTATTATCTTCGATGTTACGTAACTTGTGTTAGCTGTGGTAGAATGAATATGCCAAAACTAGCTCTACCTTCTATGAGTTACGCGCAAAAAATTGTGTATGCACGATCGTGTCCAGGGCCTGTCAAAAGCACAAAACTTGATTTGTACCTCCGAGACAAAGGTTCGCAGTGTCCTTTCTAATTATGCCTTCCCTCCCCCAGTTATTCGACAAAGAGAAATCAAATTATTCAAATATTTAGACAACATGGTCGCTAATGAATTTAGATTAGTTGCCCCAAATTAAATGAGCGGTCGAATATAAATGACGTGTTTATTATTCGTTTGTTTAACTATTTCGCGGTTTGAAGGTGATTTATGGTTATGATTTATTGCGTTAATTATGTTGTTACAATAGTTGTTTATATTACGCGTGAAACTGGTAAACAATAAAGGATACCTAATTATCATTACTGACAGGATTGCTACCATGTACCTTAATTTTGAGTTTCCGATATTTCGGCATTGTTGCAAGCGCCATGGACACGGAGTAACTGAGGAAACTTGCGGGTGAGGTGTTAGTCAGTAATAATAATTATGTTAGTGACCATGAAAGTTTAAAACAATATAAAGGATACCTAAATACACGACATTCTTCGGTCAATATGAAACAAACTAAAGCCTCTTCTTGTAGTCAATAAATGTTCCTTAAAATCTGAAAGATTCTTAGAAATACTGAAAAATTCTCAAGTCAAACGCATCCGAATTGAACGCGTGCAAAGTCGCGGGCAGGAGCTGACCTACTTAATAATTTCACATTTTCTTCACAAATTAAGTCAAAATTAAAATAAGCGTGACGTAAAGTTATAAGTTTTCAACTATTCTGTTGTTCTGATAAAAAATAACTATGTGAAATTTTAAAACACAACAAAAAAGTTTGCTAACAATAACCAACTAACCAATTCAAACTACATATTTAATAATATGCAGAAAAAACAGAACGCGATCGGACAGATTTTAAAAGAATAACTTTATAACAAGATGCGAGCGCGAACAATTTGCCCGACTTGCACTTTGCGAGTCTGTAAAACAATTTAAAGTAAGCAAGTACAGCCACAACAAACTATACACTTTTATTTAAAAATCACTCTTATTGCAGCTACATAAGATGCAACAGTGTTTATCATAATGTGCCGCCTGTACATGCATTAAATATCAAACTGAGATAGTGTGGCGGAGCTGATCGCTGTTCCAGTCGTATTTCAAGTTTATGGCTTCCAGGAGACTGGGGACCGAGTGTAGTGTTTGAGCTGTCTGGAAAAAGGTTGGCCAAATGATAAGATGATTTATAAACCGAAACCAGTGCACCGTCTTAGCTACTCGAGTTCATAGTGTGGAAAGTTTCTAGAGTGTCCAATAGATGGCGTTGATTGTTTAATAGAACGCAGAAGAAATAAATCAAAAATTGTAATAGTATTTATTAGAGAGAATAAGTTAATAAGACGAATAGAAGTAGAAAAGTAAAAAATCACATTTCCATTAGATAAAAACATTGAGAATTTTTAAACAGTTCGTCTAATGAATTATAAATCATGTAAAATATGGTGAATATTTGCTAGTTAGAAATGTTCAAAGGTTAATATTAAATTAAGTAAGTGCTCACTTCTTCAGAACATAAAGGACAAATTGTTACAACGCTGTTTTAAGATTAGGTACCGCCCATTCCACTTCCTTTGCAAAGTGATAGTTTAAACATTTAAAAAATCATAAAAAGTCAGTGGCATGTGGTAGTATTGACATTTCTGACGATCTGATGGGCAGTGCAGGACCGATCTTTGTGAAAATCCTTGGGGTAGACCTTTGTCCAGCAGTCGACGTCATTATGCTGAAACGAATGAAATTGATTTTTTGACGAAAGCCAATGGCTTCATAAAGCCAGTGGTTTCAGCAGTCACTCGGCAAACAAAAGGATCAAGATTCAAGTCTCACCAGAACTAGTTGATTTTTCAAGTGAAAAATTGCTATTTTTACCCTTTTCCTTGCAGGAAATATATCATAGTCACAAACATCACGTCATAGAGTGACGTTATTGTGAGGCTCGGAATTCCCGGAGGACTTATTTTTGACCTCACGACACAAAGGATGCCCTTAATACTGCCAGGTCAGGATTGGGGTCTCCATTG